GCCTCCCGATGTGCTGGGATTGCAGGCGTGAGCCGCTGCACCTGGCCTGTTCTTTGTTTCTTAATTTTTTTATATCTTCTTTTGGATTAAATAGCTTTATTTTGTCCTCCTGTTTCAGCTTATAAGTTTTAGTTTTAGTGCTTATCCTAGAGGTTACAACATGAATTATTGACTTATCACAGTCTACTTTTTTTTTGAGGTGGAGTCTTGCTGTGTCGCCCAGGCTGGCGTGCAGTGGTGTGGTCTCGACTCACTGCAACCTTCGCCTCCTGGGCTCAAGCGATTCTCCTGCCTCAGCCTCCCAAGTATCTGGGACTACAGGCACATACCACTATCCCCAGCTAATTTTTGTATTTTTAGTAGAGATGAGGTTTCACCGTGTTGGCCATGCTGATCTTGAACTCCTGACCTCCAGTGACCTTAGCCTCCCAAAGTGCTGACATTACAGGCGTGAGCCACCACACCGGGTCTCACAGCTTTAAATAAGTACATTCTATTTCCTCTACAATGCACGAAACAGTTTAACTCAGTTTACCTGTCCCCTGACTTTTGTGCTATTATTAATTCTACATATCGGCCGGGCGTGGTGGCTCACACCTGTAATCCCAACCCTTTGGGAGGCCGAGGTGGGCAGACTGCCTGAGGTCAGGAGTTTGAGACCATCCTGGCCAACATGGTGAAACCCTGTCTCTACTAAAAATACAAAAATTAGCCGGTCGTGGTGGCGGCGCCTGTAGTCCCAGCTACTCAGGAGGCTGAGGCAGGAGAATGGCGTGAACCTGGGAGACGGAGGTTGCAGTGAACCGAGATTGCAGCACTGCACTCCAGCCTGGGCAACAGAGCAAGACTCCGTCTCCAAAACAAAAACAAAAACAAAAAAACTACATATCACAAGATTATAACACTGTTGTTTTGAACAGTGAACACTCTTTGTATTTATCCACATATTTCCTCCAGTTTCCGTTTGGGATCGTTTCCTTCAGCGCAGACAACTTCCTTGGTAATAGCCCTTGTGCTTTCTTTCCGCATTTCTATGTCTGAAAGTGGATTTTTGCTTTCATTCTTTAAAGAATATTTTCACGGGCATATTTTTCTAGGTTTGCAGGGTGTTTTTCTTTCAAGACTTGAAAACAGTTTCATTCCATTGCTTTTTGGCTGTCGTCGTTTCTGTTAAGAAGTCAGAGGACCGTCTTACTGTTTCCTTTGAAGTCATCGTGCCCTTTTTCTCTGCTAAATTTTGTTTCCTTTCCCTTCCTTTTATTTTATTTTATTTTTTACCAGTTTGACGCTGATGTGCCTGTGCACACATCTTTGTGTGTGCTTGTGTTTATCCTGAGTTTCCTGGCTCTGTGGGTTGGCATCAGTTGTGCACACATCTTTGTGTGTACTTGTGTTTATCCTGAGTTTCCTGGCTCTGTGGGTTGGCATCAGTGGTGCACACATCTTTGTGTGTGCTTGTGTTTATCCTGAGTTTCCTGGCTCTGTGGGTTGGTATCAGTCATCAGTTTTGAAGAATTGTTGGCTATTATCTCTTCAGATTTTGTGCTGCCTCATTCTTTCCTTTTTCTGTGATTCACTTACACGTATCTTAGAGGTTGCTTAACTGTCTTATCCTAAACTGTGTTCTTTCTTTTTAGACTTTCGTTTTGGTCTTCTAAACATTGGTTTCCTTTTGATTCCACTAATTCTGCTTTGTGCTGTGTTCAGGCTGCTGGTGAAAAAGCTGTTCGGTGGGTCCGTTCGGGTATTGTATTTTCCAATCCTGGAAGGTGCTTGAGATTCTGTTCTATAAATTTCAAGTTTCTGCTGAGACCCTCCGGCTTTTTGTCCATTTACTTAACGTGTTAATCCTAGTTAGACTGAAGTCTTCGTCTGCTGACTGTTAACGTCAGCTGTGTGTAGACCTGTTTTGTTGTCTGATGTTTTCTTGTTTTGTTTGAGATGGAGTCTCGCTCTTGTCGCCCAGGCTGGAGTGCAGTGGCACGATCTTGGCTCACTGTAACGTCCGCCTCCCAGGTTCAAGCAGTTCTCCTGCCTCAGCCTCCTGAGTAACTAATTTACAGGCGCCCACCACCACGCCCGGCTAATTTTTGTATTTTTAGTAGAGATGGGGTTTCGTCATGTTTGCCAGGCTGGTCTCGAACTCCTGACCTCAGGTGATCGCCCGCCTCAGCCTCCCAGAGTGCTGAGATTACAGGCGTGAGCCACCGCGCCCGGCCTCGTTTTCTTGTTTTATTCTGAGACAGGGTCTTGCTCTGTTGCCGAGGCTGAAGTGCAGTGGCGCAATCATGGCTCATTGCAGCCTCGACTCCTGGGCTCAGTCTCACCTTAGCTTCATCCCACCTTAGCTGGGACTACAGACGTGCCACCGTGCCTGGCTACTTCTGAAATTTTTTGTAGAGGTGGAGTGTGCTGGTCTCAAACTCTGGCCTCAACGGATCCTCCCACTTCAGCCTCCCAAAGTGCTGGGATCAGGCCTGAGTCCTCACATCCGGTTAATGTTTTTCTCCCGTGTTTCACCCTTCACGTGAGGGTGGGTGATGAGGTGGGCCGTGAGAGACGGTCTGCTCTTTTCTTGGAGACCACCTCGGTCCACGCGGGGCTCAGGTGTTTGTGGAGACGGAGAAGGGTGGCTGTGGTGTCTGCCCGTTGTCCTCATGGGGGCCGTGGGCACCAGCAGAGGCCCCGCTTGGTGGGGCACAGCAGCGACCTGGAGCTCGTTACCGCGTCAGCTCCCGGCCGTGGAGACTCTCCCGCGTGGAGCTCTTTTCCCCAGTGCGTTTTTCACTTTCTTCCTGTGCGCTGACTTTGTTTGTTTTTTATTTGTTGGTTTGCTTTGCTTGGGTTTCTGTGCCTCTTTCCTGGAGAATCGAGAGGTGCTGGCACTGGAGCCAGACCTGGCCCTGAGCTCTCCCTGCTTTGTCCCCAGTCACGCCCCTCCCCTCAGCTGGAGGCTGCGTCCCTCCCTTTGCTGAAAGCCAGTTGCATCTGAGGTCGTGGACTTTTCCTCCCCTCTGTGGGCACATCTGCCACCGGCACCAGCTGCTGGGGCGGGACGTCTCCCCAGCGGTGATGCAGCTTCTGGCCATGGCTCCTGCGGTCCCGGGGTTAGAGCGCGGCAGTGTCTGTGGCGGCCGCCGCTTGTCCACGGGACCCGAGTCTCAGTCTCCCGGGCGCTCCCTCAGGCCTCTGCGTTCCGTGGCTGGTGTAGCGGTGCAGCCCGAAGCCAGCCTCACCT